ATGCTGGTGGTCGACGGGCGCGGCGTCGCCGCTTTACGGCGGAGCTCGGCCATGTACTTTTCAGGGCACGGGCTCAGGCTGGCGGATATGCTAGAAAAGGAGGATGCTGATTGACGGACGAGGAGGATAGGAGCTACTTGAGATGGGATAGATGGGATAGATGGGATAGATGGGATGAGACGTTGATGTCACAGAAAGTAGCGAGCCCGTGTCATTTGCATGAAATGGAAGTAGTTGTCCGTATCGGTGTGCATACGGAATCGCACCGTACGTATTCACACTGTGAGTCTGGTCGGCCAAAGCATAGCAGTACGCGAAGACGACGCCAGATGACGGCAATGCAAAACGCGTCAGGCCGAGTTTAAAATTCAGCGGCCGAAAAGGCATCCCTGAAGGAATGGCACAGGGGAAGCCCCTGCTAGTCCAGGCCCGGCAGCGAAGAACAGCATCGGGAGAGCAGAAAAGGCTGGCTGGCATGGCATGAGCATCAAGAGCCAAGGACAAGGCTTGCCAGGGGTCAAGGATGAAGGGGCTTAATAAAGCCACCGGGTGATGGTCAGATATCTTTCATAATTACGGAGTGATGAAGTTGGGATGCATAGGAGAGGATAGAGGATACGGGGTTGCGCATGCGTGGCTGCTGGATTGGGATTGTACCGAGGTGACGCAATGTTAAACATGACGCGAGATGATGGGGGGAGGCGAATCGGGCTGTAGAGCAAGACGCGTTGTACAAAGGTTGATGGAGGTGGTGGTGATGTGATTACCAAGTAGGTACAAGAAGCGCGGACCCTGGCACGGAGATGGGTGGGTGAGCTGAAGGCTGAAGAGGCGCTACCTAGGTACCTACCAGTCGATGGCGTGGAAGCTGTGAAGAAAGTGTTAGGAAGAAGGAAAGAAGGTTCCTGAGGGACGTGCTCAAGACTCAGGAGAGTCAAGCCGGGCACGTCCCTCTAGATTGCGGGAGGGCCATGTGGCCGAGATTGTTGGTTCGTAGGAAGAAGAGAGTGAAGAAGAGAGATGGAAGGGCAAGAAGAAGGCATTCTTTTTCATGACATGCTACAGGTCTACATGCCGAGGTACCTGGACGGATAGGTGCTGCTTGGAGTACATACGAGTACCTACTAACTATCTGCATTAGATGAACCGGGTATGTACATACCTGCGAAGCTCCCTACGGCAGTCCGAGGACCGTGTTTCAAAGTTGTGCATCGGAGACTTGGGAGTAGAGGTGGCTGATCCGGGGATATTCGTCTGGTATGTTGCAACTTGCATCTTGCAACTTGCAATATGTAGCAGAAGAGTAATAGTAGAGCTTGACAAGCATTTGTATTTGTTTTTTGATTGACTTTTTGCAACTTTCTGATGGAATGCGGCATGCACATCGGACCGTTGATCAGTGGTTCAGTGCAAATACCACTCGAGCACAGGTAGGTACCTAGTACTACCTACCTTATATAGGGTCCAAGGTATAGGTACATAGTAATTACAGGAATGTGTCGAGAGTGCCTACCAGGAATTACCTGCAGTGGGGTGTATATATGTACCAGTACCACCAACAGTAAACAGCTCTGACCAAGTGCCATGCGCCAACTAGTATTGTGGATCCATCAGCTCTCCCGTTTCCCGTCTTGCCCCTGAATTGTCGACCTCCAATTGCCAGCTAATACCAGAGTCTCATCGCCGTCGTTGATTCGTACTGACGGGTGGTGTTATTACCATTATTGCCAGCTAGTTAGTACTGCCACACTGCCAACGGGGTATTATCACTCGCTATTCATACTGACGGGCATTGATGTCCTTGCCCAGTTTTCCTGCGCGTCACCCGAAACCTCCACCCTCATCTGTCTCGCCCCTACCTTTTCTTCTTCTTTTGTCGTTTCTTTTTTTCTTCCTCGCCAAGTAGTCCGTATTACTCCGTATTACTTTGTAACTACTTTCCCTTGGATGTACCTGTCTTTTTTCCACCCCTTCTTTGACAGAGCACACCACCTTTCTCTACTCTCTGCGCCGACTCTTCGACCACATCTCCACCACCCCCCCCGTTGTGCGCTATCCAAAGCACCAAACGCACGTACTGCCTCTTTGACCTTTTTCATGCCCTTTTTTCCTTTTCCTTGAATTCGGCTCTGCTTCTTTTCGCCTCTCAAGCTAGAACTTGGGCCTTTTTTCCGCCTCATCGTCTCCCGTCCGTCTCGTGCCAGCGCCGCACCTGCCGAACCGACACCTCAGACACACACCCGACGACCCCTCCACGAGCCCCTTCTTTTTTTCTCCTCGTCGTCCGATCCGTCTGCCGCCAGCCTTTTTTCCTTTCGAGCTCTGAGCTGGTCCTTGAGCATTGTTTTTTAGCTTCCTGCTTCCATGAGTGCCCTGCGCAGCTTCATGCCCGCCCTGCTACTCAATTCTGCCACTTTCGTCCTTTGTCTGCCACGACCAACCAAATTCGATACCTGACGGCCCGCCCAACCCCTGTATCATTCGAGTGCCCCCAACCTGACGCTCACGGCCACATTGGTCAATTCTCTCCAATACACACAGATAGTGCGAGGCACCACAGCCGCCTCCATATCACACAGCCATGTCGCTCAACGGCCTCGACGACCCCAAGGTCGCAGACGCCTTCCAGACCGCTGGCGCCGAACCTGGAGGCTGGTACGTTCTCCTATCCATCATTTACCCCTTCCGACTGCCTGCCTTAGCTCACCATACCAATCGTCTAGGTTCCTGCTCAAATATACTCGCCGCGACGAAGTTGAAATCCTCGGCACTGGTGCTGGTGGCATTGCAGAGCTTCGTACCAGCATTGAAGGATACACCCAGGAGAGCCCATTGTACGGTTATATCAAATACAGGCGTCGCAATGTCGTGCTCAAATATCTCCCCGAGGACTCATCCCGCTTAATACAAGGTACGCGACTCCCATCGACCCCTTTCACCCTTTCCTGCCAAAGTCCCCGACCGCCTAACATAACCCCCAGCTCGTGTCGCCGTCCACTTCAATTTCGTCTGCGAGCGATTCTCCCCCTATGACACGATTTTCGAGATCGACTCTGCCACGGCCCTGACTGACACGAAGCTCTCCGCCGCCTGCTCCCTGCATACCGCCTCAGGCTCGACAGCTTCCTCTACCAGCTCCCGAAAGAAACGTCTGGTAGAGATTGCCGAGGAGGATGAGGACGACCAACCCGCCTCGAAGCGCAAGTCCGTCACGGCCGATGCCCTCCCTCCCAAGACGCCTGTCGATCCGAGCTGGAACCGGGATCCCGTTACTCTGAATGCTGATCTGGCCTCCTCGCCCGAGCAAAGTAAATTCTCCGCTCAAGATACCGCTGAGCCCCCCACCTTTGTTGGGGTCGACGAGCGTCCCTCGACATCAGATTCCTACGACCGCAGCCTATCTAGTTCGTCATCTTACCCCTATGGCAAACCCAAGGTCAAGCTTGGCCCCCGACCCTCTCTCGACGTCAATGTCCGTCCTCAGACGGCCGGAAATTTCAGACCCGTGTCTGCCATCCCCGCAGGATATAAGCTTTTTGGCAAGGGCGGCAAGAGAACCAAGAGTCGCGAGAGTAATATTCTCGTCTCTCCGCAAGAAGAAGTTCCCAGCATGGACTTCACCGTTGCTTCCGAACCCGACGACGCATCCAAAGAAAACACCGACCCGGCCCTTACCCTGTCCAACCCCGAAACCACCCTCAAGCCTACCAAGAAGATTTCGCCCGAAAAGGCACGACTCAAGAAGGCTATGCAATTGCGCGAGAAGAAGCGCCTCGCTGCCGAAAAGGCTGCCCAGGAAGAGGACGATGCTGCTGTTGCCACTGACACTGTAGAGGCCCAAGTGCAAGCCGAAGCTGCGGGAGATGCGCCCGCTGACAATGAGATTTTGGCTCAACCCGCTCTTGGCCACCCCACTGTTGAAACACCCGCAGATGAGGCAGTTGATCTCTATGTCGATGCAAATTCAACCGCATCACTCGCCGACCAGGTCTCCGAGGCAACCGCTACAGACTCTCATCCAGCAAGTCCGGGTTTGGCCGACTCGGAGACGGCCGACTCGACAAAAGCCTCATCCATTTCTGAAGGCACCGATGAGACCGTTGTTGAAAAAGAGGAAGCTGGTGAAACGACACCCCAACAGAAAGAAGCGGACGCTCTTGCCCAAGTCGCGGCACTGCCCGAAAAGGACCTAAGACACATGACGACACAGGACCACATCAAGGCCACCGAAGCCGCCCTCTTTGGTTCCTCAGACGTGGATACGGATGCTACCGAGGAACCAGTCGCTATCCCAGTGCCAGCCTTCTCGACCAACAACTCTGATTCTCCGCCTGTTGACAAGACCGCAGAACCATCCCCTGAAGAAGCCAAGGAGGAAGTAAAGGAGGCAGAGCAGCCCGCTGCTGATAAGCCTGCAGACCCGAGTCCCGCCGCCCAACCCTCTGCTCATGATCTTCTCGCCGCGACTCGTGCCGCCGCGGAGCCATGTATCGGAACTCCTTCTGTAAAGGTTACGCATAGCCCCCTTGCTACCCCCGCCCTCGCCACCTCTAACGAGGTTATAACTGTTGCTGCCGAGCCAGCCAAGGAAAATTTTGCAGAGTCGAAATCAGAGTCAGGCAACATTGCTGAGGTCAAGACTGAGCCCGCTGAGCCTGCTGAGCCCGCCGAGCCTGTTGCACCTGTCGCGCCTGTTGAGCCTGCTGAGCCTGTTGCGCCTGTCGCGCCTGCTAAGCCTGCTGAGCCTGCCAAGGAGAAACGCAAGGGTCTGGTTGAGCCGATCCAGACGACTGGAATTGACAACCAAGTCGGGGCAAACCGACCATCTACTACAGCTGCAGTGATTGCGGAGGAAGACACAAACCTGTCTATCACCGCAACGCCAGTTACCCCTGTAACACCCGAGGGTGGTCTCGCGGCGTTGCCTCCGTCCACGAGCACGACCCCGCAGCCCTTCGCTGTCAGAACCGTCTCGAACCCTGTACGTGGAAATCTGAAGCCGCCCTCTGATGTGAGCCAGTCGTCGGTCCGTTCTATGAGCTCTGGAGCCGCGTACCTTCACAAGATCAACCAGCAACAGACCAATGCAAACCTCTCGTCCAAGTCCAATGTTGGTTCCAGCATCTCGCAGCGCATCAAGGCTCTCGAGATGCTTTCTGCCAGCAGCGGCTCCGAGATCCGGCCCGTCAGCCGTGAGCGCCCCCAGTCGACCTTCTTTTCCGTCAAGAAGAGCGAGCCCCTACGTGCCCCATCAGTGGTTGAGCGCGCTTCTTCTCTGCGGATGACTGCTCCGCCTTCCCGTGATGGTTCTGATTCCTCACCCGAGACCAATCGGCCGCAACGCGGACGCTCGGGCTCCATTTCCAACAGACTCTCCATGTTCCAGCCTTCGCCTGACTCGACTCGTGGCGCGCCAGAATCCATTTCGGTGACGGCCAAGATCGTTCGCGACCCCGACCAGCACGTAAACGAGCCTCCTAGAGATGTACTTGGTTTCAACCCCCTGGATCTCAAGCAGTCGCCACTCTTTGTTAGCCACCAGAAGCCCACACAGGATTCCAACACCACCAGTATCGAACCCCCCATCGATTCTCTCAAGGACGAAGGACGCCGCTCTTCCGTCAACCTTGTTCGCACTCTAAGGAAGGACAAACGAACAATCTCGACAGAGCCTGTTCCTGCTGCCTCACCCCCACCTGCCAATGGGTCTTTCTCACCTCGCATGTCGTTTAGCAGCCGCCGATCAACTGGCAAGGAAAGCGAAGAAGCCCAGTCTCCCGATTCAAATGACACCCTCTCGGGCGGCGAAGACAAGTCAAACGATGGCAAACTATCGCGCGCCAGCCGCTTTATGCGCCGTCTCTCTAACCTCTCCGGCGCGCGCGGCAAGACGATCCTACCCCCCGCCATCAAGTCGCCGCTTGCGCATAATGAAGACCAGCGCCTTGAGGCGTCCCGCCCCTCCACTACCGGCACCTCGCCTTGGATCGTCTCTTACCTCGGTGACGTCAACGTGCAGTTTCCAGACAACCTGCTCTGGAAGCGCCGCAACCTGTGCATCGACTCGCAAGGTTTCCTTGTGCTCAGCGCGCTGCCCGCACCCAGTAGCCGCGCTGCCCAAGGCACCAAGCGCTACCACCTGAGCGAGTTCCGCCCACCATACTGCCCGGACGTCGAGGTCCAAGAGCTCCCTAATAGTGTTGTCCTCGACTTTGTTGAGGGAACCAGCCTGCAGCTTGCCTGCGAGGACCGTACCGGCCAGGTTAGCGTCCTCAACGACCTGTCGGATGCGCACTCGAAGCATGCCGCGCAGTTTGGACAATAATATGCCACTGGCGATTCCCATGTTCTAATCATGCACACAAACTCATGTTCTCTCCCGTTACCTTTTTTTCCCCATTTGTTGATATACCCTCTTCTTTTTTCACACTGATTTATTTCTTGATCTGCATACTGTTGACACTGACATCGAGCGGACTCTACATTTTTTTCTACTTTCTTATTTTGGATATAATATCTACACCATGTCATTATATATTCTTTCCCACGTTTTTATGAGAGGAGGACTTTTTGTTCGACCCCTTTCGTTCTCTTTTCTTCACACACTATGGCTGCTGGGGGCGTCACTCATTATTTCCCCCTGTTTTCTTTGCTGTCGTTTCTGCATGGGCTCGCATGTCCCCATCGTTTTTACTATGTTTTTTACTACCTTCTCTTGCCCAACTTGCACACAAAAAGGTGGTGGGAGAGAGACACGTTGGGTGTGTTAATAGTGTTGATGTTTGCGCTCAACCAAAATAGTTTTTGGAAACTTGCCAAGACATGGCCGTCTTGAGCAGAACAACTCAGTGCTGGAAGTGAAATAAATCAACACTTTTTGTCAAGTTTATCTCTTTGACGTGGGTGCTATTTTTCGAGCTGCGTCTTGGTCTTGTATAGGCTAAAATGTAGTGGGAGTGTTAAGCTATTGATTGGATTTGGTGATTTGAGTAAAGCCAGCTTTATTGAGTATAGTGGCTGGCTGAAAACTGTACTCGGCTCAGCAGGATGTATATATATATGTCTGATAAAGGTGAAACTTTTCCTGTTTCTTTTTCCATTCGCTCCTAGAATATCATTTGCCTCTCGTTGAAAAAAAAAAGCAACAACTCCAATACAACTCTCCGACATGAGAGCTACCAAAAAGCCCGTCATATCCCTCCCACACACAAAAAGCCATCAAAACCATCCCAAGTCCTTGTTTCTTTACTCCCGTAGTATGGCTAGCAATGCAGAAAAGGAAGGAAAAACAAATCAGTATAAAGATGTAGAAAATGAGAATAGAAAGAAAACGCTCATGTATATGTTCTTTTTCAAATTTTGTTTTTCGCTGGCTTTCAAAATCAGCAGAATTTGCGTTCTACAGCCCCCGGCCGGGCTACGTGCCGCCATTTTGCGCGGCGCTGCCGCCGGCGCCGGAGGTGGATTCCATGGTAAACTGCACCGGGTCCATGGCCATGTACTCGAGCAGGTCGAGGCCGCCGACGTTGACGCCCTCGGCCGTCATGGAGACGCCGCCGTCGCCCATGTTTTGGAAAAAGGCAGGGCCGGCAGGCAGGTACCACATTTCGTTGCCGGGGTTGTTCCACTCTTCAAAGAGCGTCACGTCCATGCCGCCGGTCGTTGCGGTACCGCCGCCGTGATCGAGGCCGGTGCCACCGCCGCCGGCGGGCGTGGCAGGGCCGGCCGACACGGGCGGGTGGTAGTGAAAGGCGCCGGTGCCGAGGTCGAACGGGGTCGCCGAGATGTTGTTGCCCTCCATGGTCGGGGACAGCGGGCGGCGCTGGCCATTGAGGCCGTCGCGGAGCTTCTGGGCGTGGCCGCCGGTGGTCCAGGTTTCGCCGGTATGCGTGCCGGCGGCGCCGTTCTCGGGCGCGGGGCTCTGCTCGCGGCCGGACAGCGGGCCGGTGGGCGCCTGGATGAAGCGGTTCCGGAGGCGGCTGGTGAGCGTCTCGAGCAGGTCGGCGAAGCGCAGGCCGAGGTGCACGTCGTCGACGACGCAGTTGCGGAGGGCCTCGACGGTGGCGTCCATGAGGTCGATGCTCATGCGCACGTCGGCGCGCGGGGCGCCGAGGGCAAACGTCTTGAGCAGAAACATGGCGCCGCTGATGATGCGGAAGTAGGTACGCACGGGCGCGTGCTTGAGGTAGCCGCCGGGCAGGAGACCGTCGACGACGGTGTGGAGCAGCTTGCGGCAGCCGTCGACGACCTCACGCACGTACTCTTGGTCCTGGACGGTGAAGCCGCCAAGCTGGCCGATGGGGAGCTTGCCGTACGTCATGAGGGTGGCGGGGGAGAGCGTGGACTGCTGCTGATGCGCGCTGTGGCCGTGGGAGGACGAGTTGTTGGAGACGGTCTGGGTGGCGTTGTTGGTGCAGCGCTCGACGACGGCCTGCAGCGAGAGCGAGTTGACGTAGATGCGGACGTACTCGTACTCGATGGTGAGGATGTAGCGAATGTACTGGGGCAGGCGGAACAGCTCAAACTCGCGGTACCAGTCCTTGAGCATGGGCCCGTACTCGCCGAGCAGCTGAACGTACTTGCCGCTCTGGATAATGTCGGTGGTGTGCTGGCGCGACTTGAAAAACTTTTCGTTGCCAATGTACATGGCGTTGCTGATGCCGGCCCAGCAGTGGATGATTTGATCGTCGAGCTCCAGGTCGGGCACGTAGTTGAACGTGTTGGAGAGGGAGTAGCTTGTCGACGGCGTGTTGCCGTCCGTGGGCAGGGGTCGTTTGCGCGCAACGGCGGGGTCGGCGCGGCGGAGGTGCTCGGGGGCCATGCTGGTCCAGCCGAGACGGCCGGCCAACTGCGAGGTGTAGATGAGGAGGAGCCGCTTGATGCGGTTGGCGCGTAGGCGATAGGCCTCGTCGCGGTATTCCGGGCGCGTGATGGCGTCGTCTTGGAGCATGGCGTCAATGTCGTCAAAGACGCCCAGCTCGTACGCAAGACCCATGGCTGTGCTGAGCAGCATCCAGCACATGCGATCGCTGCGCCAGGCGGGCTCGAGCCAGCTCTCAATGCGCTTTCCGCCAAAGTTGCCGCCTGCGGGGCGAGCCATCTCGTCCTCGGTGGCCATGAGCGGCGAAGACTCGGCCATGGGAATGACGAGCTCGTCTGTGGCCTCTTGGGGAGGAAAATGCAGGGCGCGAGGATGCCACTCGGTGAGGATGAGCAGCGACTCAATGGTTCCGAGTGTGCGCAGGCTCCCTTTGCGCAGGCCGCGCCAAGGCGCAGTGCTACTGGTCTCCTCGCTCAGCATAGCTGTGGTGGCGGAGCCTCCGGAGCCACAGAATCCGCCGCCAAAGGCCTCCTGGCCCCAAAGACAACGCTCGATCATGCCGCGGAGATAGGTCCAGAGCTGCTCGGGGATGGCATGTGAACGGCATTGGCCACCCGTGCCGGGAATCTGGCGATACCGGGACGCAATGGTCAGAAGGGTGACGGTGAGTATCGGTTCCTCCGCCAGGAGGGTGAGATGAGTGGCGGGGTTGCTAAATGTGGGTGGTGAGATGGGTGTGAGGGGAGAAAGGTATTTGTAGTAGCTGGTGGTGTTAGCGTGAGCAATAAGAGTGTAGCAGCAGGGGCGAGAATGAGACGTACTAGTCAATGTATTCAATGGCCTCTTGCGCGGTGAACCAACCGGCACGGACGAAGCGGAATCGGGACCATGCCTTGATCGCATCGGCGTAGGCGGGATGAGAGGCCAGGTCGGAGGAGTGGTGTTCGACTTGGGCGGGGCGGGCCGAGGCGGACGGTTGGCGGGGAAGTTCGCGGACGGACGACTGGCGTCTGTTATGAAGATTGAGAGGATTGGTATGGGAAGTAGAAGCGGCCGAGGTTGGCGCAGCAGCCCCAGAGGTGGAGACGATGCTACTATCGCGTCGGTGATTTGACGCGGGGCTACTGGGACGAGGCATGTTAGTGTTGCTACTTGGACAAGATTCAACGTAAGATAAGAACAGCTGGGGAAACAGACCCATCAGTAGCGGCCTTGTAGAGAAGGTCCAACGCGTCGTGGTGGCCGTAGACGGTCTGCCGCATGACAGACTGGGCCTCGAGGTTCTCGAGCGTCTGGGAGGCCTCATCATCGGAGTAGTCGCCGGTCCTCTTGTCGCGACGCCCGCCCTCGGGACGGCGCAGTGGTTGGCTACGCCAATTGGCAGCGGCGGTCGCGGGTGGGGGAGACTCGGCATAGGTCGTTCTGCGGTCGAAGCGCCCGGGGCTGGTAGTGGTGGTAGTGGTGGCAGTAGCGGTGGCCTGGACCTTGCGACGGCCGTTGCGGATAATGTACTCCTCGAGGTCGCTGCCGTCATCGTCCGTCTTGCGCTTGCGGCGGGTGGCGGAGAAGAAACACTCCTTGGACTCGCGGCGGCAGCGGACGCACGGGGGATCGTGCGGGTTGTCGACGCTGCCGAGATCACAGCGGACCTTGCGGCGACGGCAGGGGATGCAGGCCTGGTAGACGCGCTTGTGCTGGGGATTGCTTGCGGCCTCGTCCTGCGGCGTATCGTGGGTGGCCGACGAGGTGCCCTTTTGAGAGTCCGGGCCGGAAGACTGGTGGCCCGGGGTTGAATTCACGGCCGGGCTGGCGGCGGCGGCGGCGGCCGAGGCGGCTGCGTTGCTCGCGTACTGAGCCATGGTTGGTTTTGTCTTGGTCGTTTGCTTGAGCCGAGATGGAAGATGGGACGGGTAGCACAGGGTCAGCCTGCGCGCGGTCAAGAGCGGCAAGACTAACGAAAGAAAAAAAAACCCTAGGGCAGAATCGAATTGGCTTGTTGCCGCGGCGAGATCGGCAGCGGGCGGAAAAAGGAATCGTATTACAGAATCAAGAGGAAACGCCAGCAAGCGCGCGTATGCCGTGGTGAAGCGTGCACAGAGGTTGTTGCTGGGGGATAAAAAGATGGAGGTTGCGGCGGGGTGTCGCCTTGTCTCGGTATAAGGGAAAAAAAAAAGCTGTGGTACAGAAGGTCAAAAAATTGGTCCCTCCCTGGAGCACGGTCAGTTTAAAGATCAGATGGGGGCGGGGGGAGGAATTGATGACCCCGCGTGGGACGGAACAAATTGATAAGGTGAGACGACGAATAATGATCAGATTGGCATTCCCCCGAATATCTCGATTGAGGGAGTGAAGGAGTCAAAGAACTGCTATGCAGGGTCAGAGGATGCAGAAGGAAAAAAAGCCAATGGCCATTATTCGGTACACGGCAAAGGGGGGGGTGCGTTTGTCTGGTGGTGGGTGTCGGTAGCAGCAAAGGCTTCACTTCACGATGATTGTTTAGGTAGTCTGGCGTGCCCCAGCCCTTTTTTTCTGCTGATTCTGCACTAAATTCCCAGGTACGCCGCGTGCCCTGCGCAGCCACTACGGCCCTCTGGAACGCACTCCAAACACGGCGGGGTGGCCCTGCTCTCTTTTTTTTCTTTCTATTTTCCTGCAGCGAACCCCAGCCCATGCATTAACCACCCACCATTGACCAAGGCGTTCCTTCCCCTCCATATAAATCTCCACGCGAATCCGCAACCCTGGCGTCCTCGACCTCGCAACGTCTTGGACCTTTTTTTTCTCACCCAATTTCGTAATAACGCAACCTCGCACACCCCATCTTGGCGGTGGGAGGGGAAGAGCCTACAGTAACTAGCGCTGCAGGCCAGGTGTTTGTTTTTGCACTGACATGGCAGGTGGCGCGGCGCGCACGTCAATCTCGGCACCTGGCACCTGGCATCTGGAGCTGCCACCTGGCAGAACCTCGCAGCTGGCATAGAAGAAGTACTTTTGTTTTGACGATCCTCGGTTTGGTAATCCTTTTTTCCCTGGGCCGTTTTACTCCGTGCTACTACTCCGGACCTTCCGGGGGCCGTGATGCCGATTTGCACAACATCTTCTCAGTCAAAAGGTTCCATGATACGAGGCTACAATGTGTACATACATGAGTGCTAACTACCTAGTATAACAGGCCGCTCATAAATGGTGCGTGCAATCATACTAAATGAAAATCTGCATTAGATACGGAGAATTAATCAATTATACTTTTTTTATCCATCCTTCACCCTGGGTAGTAAGTAATGATCCCATTCACGCCCCCCTCCCCGTTGCCTCCAGATCCTTTCACCTGCTCATTGCAGCACAGCATGCCCCATCTTCCTCCACCTCGAATGTTCCCTGCAAAGACCAGAAGCTTCAGCAGCTTGTGGCGTTCCCATTACCCAACCGACTCCCGCACCAACCAATCACCAAGTGCCGCCCCCAGGTCCTTGTCTGGTCACGTTGACCCTGTAGATTTTTTCTTCCTTTCCCTTTGGGCACTTCAACATTCCGTCTATGTACAATATGTACTTGCAAAACCCACTCCTTGGCATGATGGACTCTTGCTTTGGATCTGACCCCCGTTGTTATAAATCATTAACGTCGCCCTATTATTGGCACATCAGCAACCAGCCACTTATACCACGTTCTCTCGCCCCTCCCCTCTTCCCTCACCACGGTCAATGGATACTCATCTTCACGGCATCCTCCACCTCTATGGCCTAATCGCAGCACGTCCGTAATAGAGTGGGCTTCTACAAAACGAGGCTGCAGCTGTCGTCTACACCCAGGATCGCTCCGTCGTGGCAAGCCCTGTTCCCAAAAGCTCAACCATTCGCACAGAAACGAAAAGCCAAAGCTCTCATTCGTAGAACCGGGCCTCATGCCCGGCGTGGCGTCTTGGTTGTCGTACCTCGCAGCCGTCCATCCGTATCCAGCTACGGGTCCAGCCTCGCCAGCACACTTGCCCCTGCTTCGTGTGCGTCTGTCAGAAAACAGTTCCCTCTACAGTTGAACTGCTGTGCTTGCTCTGCATGCACCGTGCCCCCCCCTCCACGCATGTGCGTGGAGGGTATGCCGCAAAAGCAAGTAACCCGGCCGAAAGTCCCTCGTCGTCAGTTTCTATATCGCACTGTCTTCTCGGTTCCGTGCCGGCAGCGCGAACCTACTAAGACCCCGATGTCCGCATGCCCTGCGTATATAGTACCAGGCCAGCCGGGGAGCAAGTCCCGCACGGAACCCGTCTTATGAGTCCCGTCAGGTATAGTCGCCGCTGTGCAACCATCCACATGGCACCGCGTGGTCGTCGGCGTGCTAGTGTTCCAATCAGCTGCAGCCATTTCAGTCAGCCGTGGTATCCAGACCTCAGAGGTCAGCAATGTGGTTGGTCTACGAGGCCCGGTCTTGAGGTGAGCAACGAGGCGCGTCCTGTGAGCTGCATGTGTGGTGAAGCAGCTGGTGATGCGCGCCGAACCGGTGCCGGGGATGCGGCTGGCGCCGTGTGCCCTCGATGAAGGCGGTACCGGTGCGATTGGTGGCAATATCCGTAGAACATCGCTCCAGCGGCTCAGTTTGCTGGAATATCGATAACCCTTTTAACGCGAGCATGTCCAGCGAGCACGCCCGGCTCTCTCATGGCCCTTGAACAGTATCCATCGCTTCGACGCTGGGAACGGGGTCTTTTGCAAAAAATCTACCGTCTCGTGCCCTGATGTGGCAACACCACCTGCAGATCGATACCGAGTGCATATGCACTTTACCACTTTACCACAGGGCGTCTTGGACTGAAGAGCACCTAAAAGAGTAGACCATCAATTTCATTACTTTCGCTCCTGTCCGGAAATCGAGATACACAAATACCAAAAGTACCCACGACGATACGTGTAAAAAAGCACCCCCTCCCACGATAAAGTCCGTACATACGGGCATCCAATGCTCAACATGCGTTCCACGTCCCTCAAATTAGATTGTACAAAGCCCGAGTGAGCCATGACAATAGCGAAATCTCAATTGCTCGCAGCCACTTCACAGTATCCGCCCCTTTGGATTGTACAAGTCCGTGAATAAAGGCAACATTTGAGAGTTGTGTTGCAATGTGCTCCTCTTTCTCTATTCGCTTTGGCGTTCTTTGGCGCTTCCATATGGATCCACGCCATGGCCAGGTTCGTGGGTCGTCTATTTATTCCAGGGCTGGTGGCTTGCTTCCCGCCCGGATCGATCGGACATCCATACATGTACTGGATGCATATAGATCGACGTGAGCCGCTTAAACAACCATACCCTTCTTAGACTATGCGCCGGTTAGTAAATTGCATCCGCCCATAGCCAGTGATATACGTACGAGATGGTCCCACAGCTTCGTGGTCAAAAGGTCAGGCATGGTATACAGGTCTATCGAGAACTCGCCGGCTTCATCCAAGTCATCCACTATTAGCACACCCAAATATCAACCAAAGGCCAGCTAAGCGACGCAAAGCACCGAGGCGGCAGAGACTCACCATCGATATCACTTCTTATGTAAGTGTTAGGCCCCTTGTGCTCATTGATGAGCTGGATGACGCGGAGCAGTTCCTCTTCCTCGAGCTTCTCGAGAGCCTCTGCAATCTTTTCATAGTCATACTTTTGGCCACTCTTCTTGCTACCAGTGAGGCCGCTCTTTTTCTTGGGACGGTCCTCGTCCGTGGGTAGGGGACCCGTCTCGCGCAAGCGCTCCTGCAGGGCCTGGGAGGGATTCTTGAATACGACGGTGTGGACGGACTCGTACTTGGTCTCGGCGAAGTTGAGGTCGTGAACGATGGGGGCGAGCTTGGTCTTTTCGGTGGTGTAGCAGTCGATGCCGATTTCAAACTCACCCCAACCTTCATTGGTACAGGCGAAGGGGGATTTGGTAAAGGCTGAGCGGGTCAGTGGCTGCTCTGCAGGCGAGCCGGCGTTGAGCATCGCCAGCACGTCGCGATCGGTACATACTTTGGACGGGGTTTTTAAAGGTAGGGTGCAAGTGGTAGACGACTTTGGTGAAGACGTCGCCGGGGTGCTCGTTGCCCTCGTCATCGAGAAGGAACAGACGAAGGGACCATTCTCTCATAGGAAATTCAACCATAGGAGAGGGCTTATCACTGCACGTTGGAAGCAAATGTAGATCCAGTTAGCGTCAATAGTAAGCGAAAAAGGCGTTCCCGGTGCCAAATGGAATACAACAGGCATCAGCAGCCGTCAATTGTTTCAGCAGTAGAAATCTCGCGACTGAGTTGCGGGTATCGGCAATGGAACGTACATGACACGCTGGTCGGCGACGATCTTGACTTTTCTCTGTTTATCGTTAGGACCGAGCACAAGCGGACGTTCAGGTTTAGGTGGTTGCGGTGGTTGAGGTGGTTGAGGGATCTTTTTGGGGCGAGGATTGGTGGAAGCTGCGCGGCCCTTGCGTGGTGCCATGATGGCACGACTTTGCCATAGACTAGCAGAGCGATATGAGGGTATGAAGCAAGTGATTGCGCGATGATTTAACTAGAGGAGATGTGCGATGTTGGGCGGAAAGAAAGGTCCTTCAACGGCAAACAGAGAGCAAACGGCGCTGTGGGTGATGCGTATCAAGGCCTGGCAGAAAGGCAGGGAGAGCTGCGCCGACGGGTAGAAAGAGTACGAAAAGGCTGCAAAAGGCTTCACGAAGGCCGAGGAGGTGATGTTTCCTTGATGATGTTTCCTTGATGAAAATGAATTCAAGCCACGAAGGAAAGATGCAGCGCAAGCTTGGTGGGTGATGGCATTCACTCACACAAGCAGTGTACAGCATGGTGAAGTGCGGTGGCGGCAACGACCCCTGGCAGCTGGCAGACGCGGAGTCTCGCCAGCTGGCGACGAGGCCGCCCAGCCAATGAAGGCGCATAGAAATTGCCAAGATGATGAACAGTGTGTACATGAGGATGGGGGATGAGGATGAAAGCCAAGCAACCCGGGGTGTAAACTCATTTGTGCGGCCACAGCAGGCGCGGCAAGGAAAAAAACACACACCACCAGGGCGGCGATGAGTGTGGTGCGACGCAGCAACGAAGCGTGTAATGAAAGGGGAGGGGAACGACGTAGAAGCAAAGGGCACTAATACCCAGACAAGGAGAAGGATGGATGAAGAAGAGAGGGTAATAGATGGTAACAGGAAAGAAAGGGAAAAAAGAGAATGACACTTACTTCCACCAACATGATTGCGTATGTGTGTGGTTAGATCTCACGGATATTAATTCAAAATTGGCCCAGGGAGTAAGGATGCGCTAGTTAATAGCGATGGGATGAAATAGAATATGAAAAGAGGAGCGCGGTGATACAGGAAAGATCTATCCAAGAAAAGAAGGTAGGGAAAAAGCAGAGGCGAAAAAGGAAGCCGGGGATTTTCGTTTTCGGCAAAGCAAGATTTCACAGTTGAGCAAGAGGGAGACGTGGTGGGCAAAAAAACAGGCCAAAGAGGGAGCGAAAAGCGGGCGAGAGAGGGAGAGAGGGAAGAGAGGGAGGCGAGAAAAAAAATTGGCCAGCATGAGGAAGAGGGGGGGGGAGCTTGGTTGACTCTAGGCTCTCATCAGGTACCCAGGCTAGTACCTGCCTGCTGCTGCCACTGCTCTGGTCGCCTGAAGCGCTGTAACAAGTACCTACCTGAAGTTACATGTATGCTGTTGTAGCTTCTCTTTTGTCGGAACAGCGGGCCAACCCGATACACAACAAGATATCGAGGTACCTTGCGCGTCTTTTGCTTCCTCTCTTTTCCCCCAGCTTATTCCAAAGCTTCCACACCATCAGCAAAAATATCGTTAAGCACAGAGCCTAATTACTAGGGACCAGGTATTCTCCCTTTGTCCTTGTTTGCTCCTTTTCCGCGCCAACCCAAGGCCCCCCAGGCATGTAACAAACCCACTTCCGGCCACCATGCCTCATCGCCCACTGGTCCTTTCCACACGCTTCCACAGCCTGTCGGTCGGTCGCTCCTTTGTCTGGGGCATTCAGGCTCTATGTTAAAGACCAAAATCTCCTTGTATATCCATCCTCATGATGCCTGCCCTTGGTACCATTTACAGGTTCGATTGTAATGGAGCTGCCAGTTTACCGCAACCAGAAGTCCCGCCTCAGCCGTATCACAACCTACCCTCGCCCACCCCGCCATCTCCCGTGTTCCTTCAGCGCAATACACCAGGACAATGGACCCCCAGCCCTTCAAAACACATCGGGCGCGAGCACAAGTGCATCAACCTGCTAAAGATCCAAGTAATAAGCGCCGATGCAAACCCGCAAGTACCGCGTCAACCCTAGGTACTTGCCGTATCAGCCCACCTCGCGTATTACCCCTCTACTTCGACTACTCCTACTCTGTAAACTTCAACTCCGTATGCTTCGTACAATCACGTCATGCGAACATTGTCTCTAACTATTTATTTATTCATGTGGTGATGTGACTTATGCGCTCAATGCTACATGCCCTCTTTTCCTCCCCCTATTCCCTGCGACTGAAATAGCTCCTGCGTCAAGCGTCCTTCATGTTGCTCAATTCTCGAGGCGTAGTCATTGTTGGGTATATCCACCACCGCCAATCCGGCGGCAGGACTGCTTGATGATGTGACTTGATGTGTTATAGGGGTACGTGATGCTGAGACACCATTCCAAAACTTGGCCATGGTCCCTCTCCGAGCTTCCGCTCACTTATATTGCCTTGCCTCGACTCTTAAGCCGCGGCCTCAGCCTCGGCCTGCTTGAACAGCTCCTCGTTCTCCTTCTGCGCCTTGAGGAACGCGTCCTTGAACTCGTTGGCATTGTCAGAGTTGGCGAAACGGATGGCCAGAGTGACCGCCTCAGGCTCGCCCTCGCTGACGTCGGCCGCGGCGTTCCAGACCCAGGACCGGTCAGAACCCACGTTGGGAGCGAGCTTCATGTCGGGCACAACTATATCCCGTCAGATACTGCATTTCTTTCTCACACCCCTCCTTTGACTTACTGTAATGGTTGGCACAGACCTTGAGCGTCTTGTCACGGCGCATGACCAGGCGCGTGCGGCCATTCTCCTTGTGCTTGAGCAGACGAACGTCGCCGGTACCACGCTCCTTCCACTCGTTCGACTCCTTGATGAAGCGGAAGAGTTTGGCGCGCATCTTGAAGAGCTGCTCCTCGGACTCCTCGTTGGTCTTGGTCTCAACCCTCTCCGTCAGCTTGATGACAGGCTCAAAGTGGACGTCCTCGCTCTCGGGAGCGACGTCCTCGCCCTCAGCCCTAGCGGCATCGCGCTGAGCCTTTGCGCTGCCAGAGTTGTCACCGCGGTCCTCGTCGTGATTTTTCTCCTTCTTGGCGCCACCGCCGAACATGGAGAAGACGGCAGAAGAGGTGACGGGCACATCCTCCTTGGGCTCGCTCCCGGCGGCGGTAAGCTCGGTCGCGGCAACCTCCGACCCAGCAGCGGGCTCGGCGGTAGATTCAGCAGTAGGCTCAGCAACGGCAGACTCGGTGACGGCTACCTCACTGGTGGCAGCATCGGTGGTCGTAGGCTCGGTCGCGGTAGTCTCGTCCGTGGTCTGGTGAAAATTGCGTTCTTAGCAAACCTGCCCGAATAACATAAAATTTCATAGCCGCACAACAACGTTTTTGCTCCATTCCTCTTTAAACAACGTTCAACAGCCGGACCGTTACACCGCCAAAATAGGAAAAAAAATGCAGCATTCACCCTCGTACCTGGAGAATCTCGAAAGGCTGGGTCTCCTCGACCCTGGGCTCGGTACCTGCTTCGGAAGACATGGTGATCGATGTGTGTGGTCGCTCGATAGAGGAAACGATACAAGAAAACTGTTGCAGAGGAGAAAAGATGGGAAAAAACGTTAGCCTCAAGTGCTCATCATTTACCTGCCCACCGCAACTTCCAGGCAGCGGTCTCTCGTAGTGCCTGAACGTTCTAGCGGCAGCGGCCAAAGAGGGGGGATGGTGGGAGCTTGTCGATGGAGGGGGAGGCGGGCCACGACCCAAGCCGTGACAGGCTGGCGTTGCGAGACATACTTGTAAGGATAAAAATGAGTTCAGGCACGGCCCTCGGTATGAAATACTGCTGCTTCTCGTATGGATCAAGACAAAAAGACTTGGGGATGATCCGAGTGGCAGATGAGAACTAGTCTTCTTCTTGTTGATGTAAATTACAAGTGCGGGCTAATGAAAAAAGAGCGACCATGGCCCCTCCTCCTTGCCCTTCCCTACTAAGTATGGCGGGGAGCACAAGCCCAACCAAGCCCTTGCCTTGCCACCAGCCCGAGGTACCCTTCCTAGTCCTCAGGGCGGAAAGATACATACTGCTTGATGCCCCGTTACGGACTTGTGACTTGTGCCACAGCCCAAAGAAAGTACCAGAGGGCGGCGACAACCGTACTACCTACCTACACGCATATCAGCCAATACTACGGGCATTTGCAGCTAGGGTCGCAACTTTCAAGTAAAACACGATGTGGTATTGTGCTTCCAAGTCAAATCTCTAAACGTTTCGCCATACCCCCACCGGCGCGACCAAATCTGTAAAGCTACATAAACGAAGTATCCCTGTGGCTCACCAATAACAAACAAAAAACACACAGCTGTCAAAATAAGCAACCAACTGGGTTAAGAAACCTCAAACTCCTGTGTTCCATGCGTAATAGCTCTCCGATTGTGTTGCCACAAACAGAGCAAAATCCAAAGCGATTGCGGCCTACACCCTACCAAACCTCCACAGCAAAGCTCTGAAGCGCGAGTGACTGACTTGGGCTTCCTAAGCCGTTGCCTGGGCCCTCGACTGGAGCTTTTGTAGAAGCTCCTTGGCTGCCGCCTTCTTGTGCTGTAGATATGCTTGCGCCATGCTAGCGTACACCTGATACTCATGGTCCTTGCCTTGGATCTTGAGCCACCACATGCGGGCTGACACCTGCGCATCCAATAATCCGAGTCGAAGCTGCGCTTGAGCGCTACGTACCGAATAAACGCACTTCAAGTACTTTTCTGGAATCTCAGTCTTTGAATGGAGGAGGTCGATAGCCTGTCGCCAAAGATGAGAGCCAGAATCGGAAAGAAGGCGACCAGTGCCACCAATATTCGCATTGATAAGCAGGTCCTGCGCTCTTTCAGTCCCAACTAGCCATGCATGAGCAAAGGATTCCGAGGCAGATCCGAGAACGCGTCTAGCTCCAGCTAGACAACGCTCCGCTTCATGTGCCGCGACAGGAACCAGCTCCGACAGATCTTGGGCCAGGCTCTTGGTCCTCTCAAAGGCATCGACTATAATTCCTTTGCCAAAGTGCACCTTGATAGCTTTTCGCGTCTTCGGACGACACTTGCTCCTGACGGAAAGATTGACGATGCCATACGCCTCTCGGCGGGGAAACTTGACAAGTATGCCGTCGTCCACGGAAGAGAGGGAAAATTCGAGCTCTTGCGTGCTTCTCAACACAGTGACATCAAGACAGTTATTTGCCATCCAGGCGTCTCTGATGTCTCTCGCAACGTGGATTAACACGTCGTTCTTGCCGTGAGGGGTAAACGAGACAGTTGGTTTCCGTGAGCGGAATAGGCCTTCATCTGATGGATCTTGAAGCGGGATCAGGGCAACTCCGGAAGTGGGGGAGCTGAGTTCCAAGTCCTGCTTCTGTGTCGAGGATGCCAAGAAGGGAGTTTGCATAATGGCGGATGCAATGCTAGATCCGGCTGACTGAGAGGCCGTCTCAGTCCCTCCGAGGAATGTCTGGGCGAGCAAAGCCACGGCGATGAGGGTCAGAAGCCCTGGCAGAACAGTAGATACGAACTGAGCGGTGAGATTTGATACACCATGAGTCCATAAAAGCAACCTGGTGAGAACGTTCTTCTTGGCAAGCTCATCCTGGGTACCGAAGTATCGGCTTGCCTCGGGTGTGAAAATTGAAGGCGTGCGTAGGCTATGGTCTGCATACTCCAGCGAAGCTTTGGAAGAGCTGTCGTCGTCGTCCGCATCCTCTTCAGCGATGGATTGGTGGGCGTGGAGATGGGCCAACAACTCTTGACCACTGAGATGATGCTCTTCGGTAGCATCGGCAACAGACTCTTCATCGCAGGTGTGTTCTGTGCCAGCAAGGCTGACAACATCATCTGGGCGATGGAAGTCGAGCGAGCCGACAGACTCGCTTATATTGTCCGTGTAATTGCCATCCTGAGACTCGGTATCAGTGCCTCCTATCAGCTCGTACGTGGACTCGGACAGGCCGGCATCCTCGACCGGGGAACTCGTTAAATGCATAATGTCCGGATCACTGCTAGAAATCCAGTGGGCGAGGCTTTGGTTGACCTGCGGCCTGGGAAATCGAAGGGTGGGTTCGGAGAAGGACAGTGGAGGCTCTTGGGTGTCTGAGTGCAACGGAGGTCTCGGCAGGGGAGAATATATTTGCGTGTCACGGCGAGTTTTGGAAGACGGTGAAGTCGACGGAATCTCGATATTCTGACGTCCCATAATGAAGCACACAGGTCAGCGGGGTCACGTCAGCGAAGTGCAGCCATGCAGAGGTGCATGGGCTTATACGACCATAGCAGCTGAAGGAGGAAAGCATGTGCGGGCAACACTAACCACCATGTAGAAAGCGCGATGGAAGTGGCGAGGAAGATAGTGCCACCGCTTTTAATTGTAGAGACGAAGCACAGAGTTCATCCAGAATATTGCGTGGTTGCGTTTGCGTTCACTGTGTGGCTGTTTGTAACCTGATGACCTGATGTTGCCTGATGGTGAATGTGGGGTTGACACTCGGAAGACGGAAAGGTGAGGGAGCAAGTCGGCTTCGACAAGTGGGTTACGTCCTTTCTTTGTGATATAGTGCAAATGGAAAAGGTCGAAAGGTGCGGTGCCCGGCCTGTGTTCGTTAAGACGCGGTGATATGCAGATGAGGCTGCGAACGTGGGTTGGGAGTTCCAGTGGCGATGCCAGCGCGAGCGTGAACTGGTCGGTGCGAGGGGTACTCGGACACAAAGGTGGATGAGCAGTGGTGCGAAGCGAAGCGAGAAGCTGACAGTACACTGATTCTCAAGTGCAGAATTAAAAAAGGAGCAAGATCAGGAAGAGGAGAGCACGACGAAGGAAGCGTTTCAGGCTGCATACGTACATTCACCTTGGAAGGTGGGATGGGAAGATGTTAACAGAGGCCCCAGGGAGCGATAGTGGGCGGCGCAGGCGATTTCACACTGTACCTAGGTACGGCAGGGGAGGGTGGCAAAGGCACAGCAAAGGCTGCCAACAAGTGCTAAGGCGAGGTACACAGAAATCGCACACACTGTACGGAACGTACACTCGCTCTCGCCCCGCCACTACGAGGCGCTACCATTCGCTGGCTCGCCAGTAGTGCGGATGAACCCCTCGCCTAGACACTGGCCACATGACGGGATGCATGGATAAGACTTGACCAGACTCTACTACAGAATAAGAGCTAGCAGGGCTCGAAACAGAGGGAATTGCGCTCGTTGCGTGAGGCCATTGTTGTGGCCGGACAGCGACCTCGGCGCAGGGACTTAAACAGGGTCCCTAGAGGAGGGTAAGCTGGACACGACAGAGGGACAAAAGTTCAGTACAACTATCTGCAAAAATATCCAGAACGGCAACTTTGTACTTGTAATTCTTATCACGACGTTATCTAGGTAGGTACCTACCCATCTACCTACCTAAGTCGTACTTTACCTACCAAGGTAGGTCTGGCCTTAGGTGATGACGTTTCGCGGCTTGTAGGGCAGCGCTGTCAGTGTTGTCACTGCCGCCTCACTGTGGGCCCAGAAGCGCTGCGGGGTACCTGTGTCGGGCCTCAGCCCCTCCAGTCTTGTCGAGGCCCTCGACGACGCCACCCAGGCCTGACTGAATGTTAGAGTTGAGTTAATGAGTTAAAGTGCCTTTGACAAGTGCCTTTGACAAGTGCCTTTGACAAGTGCCTTTGACAAGTGCCTTTGACACATCACGACTCGTCACGCGACATTGCCAGACCCGTCTCCTCTGCTAGATCAGAGCCAACGCATCAACTTTACAAATATGACGCGTATAGTTTAGTAGTGGATATCGACTTCATTTAATATTCTCGTTTCATCTTGAATGACTGCATTATCTAGCCATATCGCCAAAAGCTCGAACCAGACCAACACCACCTTGGTATAACAGGCAAAAGAAGAAAAAAAAAAGCAACGATGAGACACAATAAACTCCCAGGATATACATAATTCATCTGCACAACGAAATTCCATGCCGCCCATATTATGCGAGGATACAAAGCTCTGCAGCTCGTAGAGGAGATCCGTTGTTGTGACCGAAAAGACGGAAAAAAGAAAGTGGAAGCAATGTAAGTAAGAAGCGTCAGCACCGCTGATTTGCGCCTCTGGAATTCAAAGGGTCAAAGGGCAGTAGGTTGCCAAGTAGTTTGTCCAAAGGCCTGCCTTTGCTCGGATTGCGAAGAGGACGCCGTAGGCACAAGGGTATCTTTAGTATAGCATCATGGCGAACCGCAGACCAGTCTGCTCAGTGCCTGAGTCGATCAACGACACAGAATGACTTGAATCTGGTTTTCGAAATCGACATCAAGGATCTAGCAAAGAGACTATAGCTTAGAGTGCTCTATGCTGCTGGAGAATCCTCTTAAGAGACGCCGAGTCGAAGCTGTCGTCGTCGGGCATCATCTCGATGATACCGGTCAAGTTGGCCACAAGATCACCCTGATTGCGATAGGCCAGCAGCGAAGGCACAGCGGCCGGGTCAAATTCAATCTCATCGTAGTGAACCTTGACAAAATGTGTCGTCGGGTTGGCATGTACTAGGGGCACAAGGGCATCCTCAATTGTCGCGGATACCTCGCACTGCAGGTGAAGTCCAAGTTAGCGACCATGGCATAAGTGTACATGTAATTTCGAGTAGTGCAGATGCTTACCTCATGGTCACACACAAATACAACGACTGTCGTCTCACGGTTGACTTTTTCAATGGCGTCGAGATAGCCCATAGCATCGACCTCGTCTAAGCGGCCATAGATGCGCACGCTGGGGCTCGTCTTTCTCGTGCGCACGGCACGATTAGCAGCGCTCTCCAACTCCCGCCGGCGACTCTCACGCCACTCGCTCAGGAAGCTGTCTTCGTCGTTGTGGCTCTTGGCATCATCGTCCGTGTCGCTGTCGGATCGAGCACCGCCGGTGATGGTGACGCTATTGCCAGTAGTGGAGGTCATACCAGCAAACCCGAGGATGCTTCGGCGGGCGTTTCGGGCACGGTCAACCCACTTGGTCTTGCGCGCCGTCTCGTAGCTGCGAGCATCGGCAATGACACCCTTGACACCGGTGAAGCGGCCGCTGTCGAAGGAAGCAGGAGGGAGCTTGAGCTCCGAGGCAACAGTGGTGGTGCGCATGGCGGCGTCAATTTGTGTGTTGCGGTATGTCTCCTCCTCGCTGAGGTCCCGGTCAGACAGGTCAGTGTCGTGCTTGTCTTCGGGATGGGTTGTGGCTCGGGCAGTGTTATTAGACACCAGCTGATTGAATTCGTCTTGGGCGGCCGTGTTTGAAGACATATGGGAAGGAGAGAACAGCGGGCTCTCCGGGAAGAAGAGCCTGCGAGAGCCGGGAAGGCAGATATATATCAAGTGTCGGGGCAGCGATCAGGGTGTGCGGCTAGCCGAGTCGACCAAGGTAGATCCTGTGCTTGATGACGGAACACGGAAAAGTTGGAGCGGGGGGGGGGACGCAATTTGCGATGCGGCAGGTATGTCGAAAGCAACTGAGAAAGGCCCAGTGTGCAATAGAATGGTGAATGAGAGACGACGGTGAGTGGACGTTGATAGGACGTGCCGAAGGGAAAAAAAGTCACGAGTCGGCGCGCCGGCGCAGAATGAAGCTGAGGAAGCAGGGCACGGAACCGCGTTGAGGACGGAGGGGTGAGGAGCAGAGAGGAGGGGGAGGGGCGTGTGGCTTGGGCCTTGGGGCGTGCCGGCGTCTTTTTGTGCTGGAGGCGCGGTGGCGGTGGAAAGATGAGAGAAGAATGGAAGCTGCCCTAAGTAGTTAGGTCGTAAGGGAAGAAAAGAGCTGGTTACAGGAGAAAAGGAGGCATCGCGATGAATAAATAACTAGGTGGCTGGCCTTGTTGGTCTTGTTTGTAGTCGTTTGTGCTGTTTGTGGTCGTCGAAGCTGTAATTTGTAGCAGATGCACACACCGCGGCAAACGGCTTGTGCGACCCTGCGCCTCGCGTGAGCTTTGCAATGAATTGACTTGCGGGCAGAGAAGCCGTTGCAGTGGACTCGCCTGTGTCGCAGGGCTCCTGGGCCTCGGGGGCCTGCAAGTCGGCCGTCCGTCATCAGTGCAGTGCTGTAAGAAAGGGGTCGAGGGGCCAGGGGCGGGCTCGTGAAAGTCCACAGCGCCACAGCGCCACACAGCCTGCTAATTGCAAATCACGCCCACCGCCACACTGCTGACATGCACCACGACTCAAAATGTTTCAACCTGCCTCTCCAAATACCTTGGACACGCACAAACGCACTTGTCAACACAAAGCAGAAAGCAGCCCAAGTATCACCGGTCTGACAGGCATAATACAAAAAGCCAAGCCTTTGCGGCATCATCAAGCCTTGGCCCAATGACAGCGTGGTCCTGCAAGTCCGAAACAGCATTTCTTTGCCCAACGTTCCACTGACACGTTGTGCGTGCTGCTCTGGCTCCTCTAGAAATAGATCGGCAGTCCCGAGGGGTCGGCCGCACCGGATGCTCTGTGGTCTGCTCGTCGTCCGCTCGTCGAGGAATTTCACAAAACGACAGCATCATCCTGCTCTGCCATGCGCCCGCAGGGATGTCTTTGACCGGTTGGCCAGAGACATTGTAATGCCGCGGGTGACACCATCGCCGTCGTGGACTCGTGGCACAAGACCGTCGCTTCCAGCACTCAGGTCAATGCAACATCAAGTTGGCCCTTTTCGCGTGGTTTCTAGAAGCCTGCATACGGATGAATCACAGTTTACATGCTACGCGTTGGCCACGCAGCCATGTCTCGCCTTTGCTGTTAGCCGTCTTTGACGCACGCGCCAGTTCCATCGTATTACGAACAAAGCAAACAAAAAATTTCACAATCCAAGAATAGGTAGTATTATCAAGTGTCTGCTACTATCCAATGCCCTGGTCTTATTAGCAGCACTCTCGCAACACCTCCGTCCGACATGATGGATCCAGTGCCGTGTCGACGGAGTAACTACCAGTCAGTACTGACAGCTTGCGGAGCACCATCAGCATGATGACTTTTCAAACACGTGGCTCCCAAATTACGATCAAACCACCTGGCAGCTCACGGATACAGCCGACTGCGTCTCCGGTCATGCGTCGAGCTTGACCTTATTTAGGCCCTACTATCGTCTGCCGCCATGGTCGCACTCACCGCTGCTAGCCTGCAACAATGCAAATCGTCAAGGGCAAAGCTGTCAGGTTGTGGGCGCATATGAATGCCATGCCTCAATACTCGTGTCGAGGGGGAGGGCGCAAGATCGTCTTCGTGTACGAATTACACGTAGCATGTTGAGACATGCTGCTGATTTGGGCGTCTCAGCTGCATGTCCATCATTCTTTTAGCGAGTCACATTACCAGATGATGGCCCAATCACTGCCCACTTAGGTCGCGGATCTACCAATAATTTAGGAAGAAGAAGAAGCTTTGCCGAATCAGAAATAAACCCCCCTAAGTAGTCTCACCAGAGAGTTGGTGCTGGCTCGTGGCGCGGGTGTTTCAAGACTCCCTCCGGCTGGCTAGCATCACACCCCGGGGTGGCCTACATGAGAACTGACAAAATTTCCTTTCCATCGGGCGACGAGACGACCCTTTCTCCAAAAGTTGATGTCAACGACGCTTCCAGCTCTATTCCGGTCAGGTGTAACACAATAACAACATCGTCGACGCCGTCACTAATTTGCTAATCTTGCCATTCAGATCTGCCTCCAAGGAGCTACATTTATCATCTACATCTTGTGAGTTTAGCATCATCAGCGATGAAGCCAACACACCTATGATATTCGACGGCCCAACCCCCCATTGCCTCACAGACCGCTAGTTTGAGAGGCACACCATCCTCACTACCTAAGCAACGAATGCAATTACAGAGCCGAGGCTAGTGTTATGCGAGATAACAGAGCACAGACGACTCGATGCAGTGATGAGAGCACGAGCCGTGGCTCCCACTAAGACCGAGTGTGTGGCACATGTTATCATGTTATCATGTTATCCTCCCAACTGGTGGCGGCAAAGCGGTTTGCAATATTGACCGGCCTTGCAAAATTGTACGAACAGTGACGCAACTCGCCCACAATATCAACACCGGAAATATAGCACACCTACACTTCATTGTCGCTCTCTCCCGCATGGTGTGCTTTTCTGAGTTCGTTTATGTAGGCTTCCCTCTCCGCCAGCTTCCTGTCAATAAGCTTCGATGCCCGCAGGCCCCAATACCAGTGGAAAACGTCGTCAAAGACGGCCATGTCGGGATGATGTTCATTATACATTGGCTGGATGTGTCTGTTGAACAGGTTGTACATGCCTTTCGGGATCGAAGCCGCCTTGAAAAACCAGAAACCGCCGCTGCGCCACGTTTGACGCTGTAGCTCAGCCTGCCTCGTCGAGCCATGCCGCTTGTACTCTTCGTCGGCGTACACAGCCAGGTACTCTTCTAGAACCGCCTCGTACTCGTCGATTTGTGCGCGGTCCTTGAGCCCGTCCACGGCCCGCGACGTGAGCCAGTACGGCGGGGTTTGCATTTGCGCGGGCAGGCTGTGCGTCCACTCGAGGTCGATAATGCACTTCACATTCCATTGGTCGTCGACGAAGATGTTGCTGTGATGCAGATCGGTCAACGTAAGGAAGAAGGGGCCCTGCCGCAGGTCTGCGTCGATGAAGTGGTGCATGGTGGCGCGTAACGCCGCGAGAGCAGCCATCTGGCACTGGCCATCCTCGACGCCGAGTATCGCATTCGGCTGTCCCCGCAGTTTGGCATCCTGCAGCGTGAGCAGGTCCGCCACGTACGGGTCGACTTCTAGGTACGTCCGTCGACGCGGGATCTGGCAAGACACGCCTTCGTTTTCCACCATATGCATGTACAAGTTCAGCGGTCTATTGCTCAGAGAGACAGTGTCTTGCTCGAGGCACAGAGCACCAATGCGTGGTAGCGGGATGGTGTTCATGGATATCGCGATACGCGCCAGGTCGCGGAAGAGATTCGCCTTATAGGCCTCATCGCGGTAATGCAGATACCAGGACGACGCCAGGCTTTGGCCTTCAGCTTCGCTAATGAGCAAAAACCCGCAATCAAGGCTGTGGCGAATCGAGTGTCGTACGTGTCGGATAGGAGCGCGGCCCAGAGCCAGCGCCAGGATGTGGTTGAGCTTCCACCATACTCGACGCCGCCAAGGCGTGTTCTCGGGCGATGTGAACTAGAAAAAAGTCGGCAAAAGTCAGCACAGGGTGCGCCTCCTCCCAAGACAGGGAAAACCTCTCCCGCAGGACAGTCTCACTTACAACGGAGCCATCAGGGAGCCCAAAGGCATGCAACGTAGGAATCGGCACGTCCGGGCAGTGCTCTCGCAGCCACAGGTAGGTCGCGATTTCCGTCCGCAGCTTCTCCTCCGTATTGCCCGGGAAGTGGTCCTCGCCGCTGCGGTGCGCAAACGGCAGCCGCAGGTACACGTTGCGGCCGGCCGGGAGGCGCACGAGAATGGCCACGTTGAAGCTGCCCGCCCGCCAGAGCGCCGACGGCACGATGCGGCACGACGGCACCCGCAGCAGGCGGCAGATCATGGCCTCGAGCTCGTCCCGTCGCGCGCTCACGGACGCGTACAGGGCCGCTCGCAAGCGCGGGAAGCGCCGCGAGACCAGCTTATTCTCCTCGCTCTCGATGGCGGCGGCCAGAGACGACGGGTCGCTGCCCCAGGAGGCGGAGGCGGCGGCAGGCGCCGGTGCGTCGTCGTCGTCGTCGTGGCGGGTGTCGCTCGGCGCGGGACGAGGCGCCTCCTCGGCGTCTTGTTCGTGCTGCGGCATTGCGTGTGAGGCTTTCCGGGACAATGGACTAGTTACGAAGAGGGCTCGCAAGGTCACTCGCTCCCCAAGGTTCCACAGACTGAATCACCCCCTGCTGGCATGTCTTGTGTGCTGCCTGCCAGCGTCGGCTGAGGCTGCGCTCTGCCGGTCGGTGGCTTGCATATCGACCTTGCCATTCTATTTATAGGCCCGTCTCTGGAGGGAACATGGCTGTTCTGATCCACGATCACAAAAGGGCTGCAAAAGAGGCTGATTATTGTCTGCTCATCATGCCAAATCCATCTCGGCTGCTGCTCCCCAGCAGAACTTGTAAGAGGATCCGGCGCTATGGCACACACTCACACACACACCATTCGGTCTAGTTGGAAATGGGAGGACACGAATGGTCAGGTTGTCCATGAAATCACACCTACATGGCATGGACCCAGCGTGACGGCAGTGACGGGGGTGGCGAGGGACGTTTTTTCGTCTGGGCTGCTTGCTTCGACGCACACGGACCGAAAAGATGACTGATACGCTGCGTGGCGTTCGTGAGAGCCAAGCTTTGCAGTCCAGGGCCGTGGTGCGCGTAGCAATGCTGTTTTACTTTTTTGCAAGAGCACTTGACGAAGAGTCGTACCACCACATACACACACATTCACGCCACTCATTGCACTGAATTGTTGAAAATCTCAGTGTATTATCTCCCCGACTGGCTTTGACTGTTGGTATAGCTGGCATCTTTCCCCTGCTCCTCCTCAAATCAGAAACAAAAATAAAACGCACAAGTAAACCCCATGAAAACAGAGAGTTTGCCAAGATCCTTCCTTCTCCATCTCCGGCACCAAAACAAAAGAGAGAGAGAGAGAGAGGGAGAGACAATTACCCTTACGCACAACATACACAGCTCTCTTTTTTCTTCCATCCATCGCTGCTCATCCTCTTTTTTCCAGTGATTTGTTGCTGCTTCCCACTAGGCTGTCAATGAGACAGCCGTCAGAAAACACAATAGATGACGGAAACATACCAAAGAAAACACACAAGAACGCGGGGCTTTACTAACAAAAAAAATGTAGAGAAACAAGTAATACAGATCGCTCAGACGGTCCCTCCTTGTGCAGCAGACGGGAACAGATTGGGGTGCAAGTATAAGATGTGTGTGGGATAGAGGACGCTGCTGGAGATATTTGACCGAATGTATAAGCGGCGAGTATAAAGTGCAGGAAATAGTTTTTCAACAGGACCAAGCTGAATGGCAAGAAGGTAAAATACCAAGAGACAAAGGGGGTAAAAGACCAGCAAAGCAAGCGTAGAGAGGACACGATAAAGAAAAGACCAAACAAAGTGAAAACGAAAACGAAAAAAAAAAGGGCAAAGAAAATCCATGGTAAATGAGGTATCCGATGGCACTCGTCCGCTTCTGCACCTCGGGACTGAACGTGCCGAGATCCAACTGTTGCTGAACAGTTCAGGAGCCCCGATCTGCCTCATTATTCGGTCCAAGTAGATATATAATGTACGTGTCGTCACATCGTGCAGTGTACGCCAGCAAGCCTCGCCTTGCTCTCTCGCTTCCGCATACCGTCCATTCGTGTCGCGTCGTTGGCAGTCCAACCAACTGCCAATCGGTGTAGTCCTCGAGCGGCTCGCGCACGACTTGTGCGCCGCTGCGCACGCCGGATTGTCACGGTATTCGGAATAGAGACTCTCTCCATCTCGGCTCGATTTAGTAGGCCCAAATCTTGAGCTGTGGGGGAGTTAGCATTGCATCGTAACCATGTTCGTATCGTTTCTACTTACCAGAGAATCCCATGAACCCGTGCACAGACTGACACCGTCGTTGCTGACACCCAGACAGCTGACACGGTTCTCGTGGCCGACCAAAGAGCCAACCTTTTCACCTCGCGTAACATCCCAAACCTACCCTAGTTAGTGTGTTGCCTGCATGAGTTAACGGGCGACGTTGCGTACCTTGCATTCGTAGTCATCGTAACCAGCAAACAATAAACGGCCAGAAACAGAGGTGGCAACCGACGTAATGCCGCAGAGAATGGATTCAGACTACAAGGAGGGTTAGCATGGCGAGATGGAGAAGTTGAATATTCAGCACCACGTACGCCGTAGACGTTGAGCTCGCGATCGGCGCGGATATCAAAGAGTCGACAAGTAGCATCGTCGGAGCCAGTGACAAAGGAGTGACCGTCAGGGAAGAACTGAATGGCGTTGATATCGGACTCGTGGCCGGCAAAGGTTTGAACAGCCTTGCCAGCGCGAATGTCCCACAGCTTGGCAAAAGCATCGCAAGCACCGGAGATGAAGGTGTTTTGGTTGGTGGGATTGAGACTGATGCTCATGACGTCGCCGAGGTGGTCGGCAAACTCTGTGATGCGCTGGCCAGTCTCAATGTCCCACTTGATGCAGGTCATGTCGCCAGATGAGGTGAGAATGCTGCGGTCATTGATGAAACGACAGCAGGAGAGATAGCCAGCATGGCCAGAGAGCTCACGAGCGACGCGCGTGGGGCCGTCGCGCTGCTGGTTGAGGTTGTATATGGAGCAAATATTGTCGAGACCACCACAGGCGACAAAGTTGCCAGAGGGGGCGTAGGCGCACGTCATAACCCATGAGGAGCGGAGAGGGATGGCGTGGACCTTGTTGGTGGTGTAGGCGTCCCAAATGATGAGCTTGCCGTCTTGTGAAGCAGAGACGAGATGTCGGCGGTCGGTAGACCAGTGCATGGCATAAATCTTGGCGAGATGGCCTTTGAGGGTGCGCTTGGCCTTCATGAGCTGGTTCTTAGGGATGGGCTCGTGAGCCTGCTGGGCAACAGCCCGCACTGTAAATGACAAACAGCGGTTAGCATTGGCATCGAGACGGATATGGATGGTGAAGAATAGCGAAGGGATTAGGATGGATTGGCGATGCGGTAATTAGGAGTGAAAGCTGTGTGGCTGTCGGCGAGGTAGCAAGCAGTCGCTATGGGTGGCAGGATAGGAGCAAGCGTAGCAGCGACAAGCGGGCGATTGAAGCGATTGTATGCGAGGAAAACCTACGGGTGGTATCGGCCAATTCGTCCTTCTTTCTCTTGATGCGATCCTTGAGGTTCTCGGCTTCGCGACGCGCTTGTTGGATGCGCGCCTGCATTGCCTCGGGCGAAACATCGTTTTGGCCCTGAGAATTCATGGCGACGGGCGGAGGGGGCGGAGGAGGCGGTCGGCTGGGGGTCTGAGCAGAGCGAGTGGTGGGCGGGAGGGAAGAAGAAGAGGGTTGGAGGGAGTTGGACCAACGACTTGGGGTCGCAAAACGGTCGTCTTCTTCCTTCTCAGTCGTCGGGGGGGG